GTCGAAGGAAGGTCGAGCCTCGAGTTATTCTAGAGACTGCTCCTCAGGATCAGGAACCTAAAGAAGCTCCACCAGCGCCAGCACCGATTCCTATGGTGCCTGCCCAGTCAACGCGACAGTTTCAAGGGATGAGTTTCAAGCTTTCATGAGAGACACTAGGGAAACTCAGGCACAAATGGCTCAGATAATACAGACTCTAGCGACAAATCAGACCACTGTGCAACGAACGAGGGATCCAAGTACGACAGTGGAGTCCCGTTATTTGAAGGACTTTCAAAGGTATAAACCGCCCACATTTGATGGGGGAAAGATGGACCCGGTTGCAGCTGAGGCTGGCTAGAGGCTGTAGAGACAACCGTTATGTCATGAAATGTCCACCCGAATATCAAGTCCATTGTGAGACTTACATGCTGAAGGGTGAAGTCCATTTTCGGTGGAAAGGTGCACAGAGGGCCATTACCCCAGAGGAAGGTTACATTTCCTGTAATCAGTTCAAGGAAGCCTACTTGTATAAATATTACCCAGTAGTTGCCCGACACAAGTGTCAGACAGCATTCCTAGAACTGAAACAGGGGGAAAAACTGTTGAGGATTATGATCTTGAGTTTAATAAACTGGCAAGGTTCTGCCCTGAGTATGTCAGTAATGAGAAGATGAAAATTGATCGTTTTATCGCTGGTCTCCGGATAGAGCTTCAATGTCCAGTTATGGTACAAGCAACATCAGATTATGTTGTAGCCTTGAGAGTGGCAACACTGATGGATATGCCATGGCAAATGGCAAAGCAAAATGTGCCGGTTGTGATCACTCATAATGCCTTTCGCCAACGAAGAAGGCTTAACAGAAATTCCTTTAGATCTGACAGACAGCCTCGACGGCGATTTGAACGTTGGGGTAGAGCCCTAGAGCATAACGAACCTGAATGCCCTAACTGTAAGAGATATCACGAGGGAGAGTGTTTTGCTAGAACATGAGGATGCTTTGGTTGTGGCAAGCCAGACCATCGCATAGCAGACTCTCCTCATAAGAGAAACCATGAGGGAAACAGACCAGTTGGACAGTATCAGAGAGGCCGGGGAGCCACACAGCAGACCAGAGCTGTGGCCCACGCTATCACGACTAGGAAAGCAGAAGAGACTGACACAGTGGTGACAGGTACATTACCTATCTTTGATCACCTAGCATTTACGTTATTTGATTCAGGTACTATCCACTCATTTATTTCTGAGGGGTTTGTGAAATCTACAAACATAGAATTAGAACCCCTAGAGTTTCCCCTTACTGTGTCTACACCAGCAAATAAAGCAAATAAATGCTTAACTGCTACCCATAGGGTTAGAGGTGGTAGTGTGATAGTTGCAGGGCGAAAACTTGTAGCATCCTTGATTGTTCTGTGTATGCAAGACTTCGATGTGATCCTAGGGATGGATTGGTTGGGCGAGAATCGAGCCTTCATCGATTGCGAGGTAAGAAAGGTAACCTTTAGGCCCCTGATAGGAGAGAACTTTGAATTCAAAGGGGATATATCCAAAAGCACCCCTAGGGTCATCTTAGTGTTGAAGGCTAGAAAGATGTTGAATCAGGGAGCCTGGGCAATTATGGCTAGTGTAACAAAAGTTAGCGAGTCCAGTCTAAAGGTATCCTCTGTTCCTGTGGTTGGAGAATTTGAGGATGATTTTCCAGAAGAGCTCCTAGGGCTGCCCCTAATTGAGAGGTAGATTTTGTTATTGACCTCGAACCAGGGATAACACCGATATCCAAAGCGCCATATAGAATGGCACCTGCTGAGCTCAAGGAGCTAAAGGTACAGTTACAAGAACTTCTGGACAAGGGTTTCATACGGCATAGCGTTTCACCTTGGGGAGCCCCTGTGCTATTTGTTAAGAAGAAAGATGGAACTATGCGATTATGTATAGATTACCGAGAATTAAACAAGGTCACAATCAAGAATAAATACCCTCTCCCAAGGATAGACGACCTGTTTGACCAATTGCTGGGTGCAACGGTGTTCTCTAAGATCGATCTGCGATCAAGATATCATCAAATGAGAATCAGAGAGGAAGACATACCTAAAACAGCTTTTAGAAGCCGCTATGGACATTATGAGTTCATGGTCATGTCTTTTGGATTAACCAACGCTCCTGCAGTGTTTATGGAGTTGATGAACCGAGTGTTTAAGGAATTCTTAGACATCTTCGTGATTGTGTTCATTGACGACATCTTGGGGTATTCTAAGTCTGAAATGGAGCACAAGGAACACTTGAGGAGAGTCTTAACTCTACTGAGAACCCATCAGTTGTATGCCAAATTTTCGAAATGCGAATTTTGGCTGCAGGAAGTGGCCTTTCTTGGACATGTGGTATCCAGTCAGGGGGTAACTGTGGATCCTGCTAAGATCGAAGCAGTCTTGAAATGGCCTAGACCAACCACGATCGCTGAAGTAAGGAGTTTTCTGGGTTTGGCAGGCTATTATAGAAGGTTTGTACAAGATTTCTCTAAAATGTCTGTAGCTTTGACACAGTTAATCAAGAAGGGAAAATCTTTTATCTGGACCCAAGAGTGTGAAAAGAGTTTTCTAGAACTGAGAAAGAGGTTGGTCACCGCGCCTGTACTTACAGTGCCCGACGGGTCAGGTGGGCTTGTGGTTTACAGCGACGCTTCAAGAAAAGGGCTAGGTTGTGTACTCATGCAAAAGGGCAAGGTGATAGCCTACGCCTCTAGACAGCTGAAAGAGTATGAGCGCAACTACCCCACCCACGATCTGGAATTAGCAACCGTGGTATATGCATTGAAAACCTGGCGTCACTACCTGTATGGGGAGAGAGTTCAGGTGTACACGGACCATAAGAGCCTCAAGTATTTGTTTACACAGAAAGAGCTCAACATGAGACAGCGGAGGTGGTTAGAACTAGTTAAGGACTATGACATTGAAATACTTTACCACCCAGGAAAAGCTAATGTAGTGGTGGATGCCTTCAGCAGAAAGACAGCCCACTCATCTGCCCTGATCACGAGGCAGAAGTATCTACAGGATGAGATACAGAGGGCTGGAATAGAAGTCTTGGTTAGAGGCATCACCGCTCAACTAGTGCAACTTTCAGTCCAACCCACTCTCAAGATACGTATCATTGAAGCTCAGAGAATTGATATGCACCTCAGTAGGATCTGGGGTCAGCAAGAAACTGAGAGACCAGAGGGATATTCAGTTTCTTCTGAAGGGGGTTTGATGTGGCAGGACCGATTATGCGTACCTCGGGATGAGAAGATCCTACAAGAAATCATGAATGAGGCACACAACACGTCTTACGCGTTCCACCCTGGTAGTACTAAGATGTATCAGAATTTGAAGTGTAGTTATTGGTGGCCGAGAATGAAGAAGGATGTGGCTGATTATGTGAGTCGATGTTTGACTTGTCAGCAGGTAAAGGCCCTGAGACAGCAACCAACAGGGTTGTTGCAACCGTTGAATATCCCACAGTGGAAATGGGGAGGAAATAAGCATGGATTTCATTGCGGGCCTACCAAAGACTCGACGAGGCTTTAATGTCATATGGGTCATTGTGGACAAATTGACTAAGGCAGCCCACTTTATACCCAGCAAAGCTACTTACCGAGTGGACCACTGGGCCCAGTTGTATGTCAAGGAGATAGTCTGCCTGCATGGCATGCCAGTGACCATTGTGTTTGATAGGGATGCTAAGTTTACTTCTAATTTCTGGAAAGGGTTACAGAAGGCGTTGGGAACGCAACTCAAGTTCAGTACAGCTTTCCTTCCTTAGACTGATGGGCAAACCGAGAGGCTTAATCAGACCCTATAGGATATGTTAAGGGCATGTGTGATAGACTTTGCAGGTTGCTGGGATGAGCACCTAGCCCTTATGGAGTTTGCCTATAACAGTAGTTACCAGGCAACCATTCAGATGGCACCATTCGAAGCTCTATATGGTCGGAGGTGCAGAACCCCTATATTTTGGGAGGAGGTAGGCAAGAAACAGTTTTTGGGGCGGGAGTTGGTACAGACTACCAACTCAGCGGTACAGAAAATCAAACAGAGGATACTCTCTGCACAAAGTCGACAGAAGAGTTATGCAGATTCTCGTAGGAAAGACCTCGAGTTTGTAGTGGGTGATCACGTCTTCCTGAAAGTAGCCCCCATGAGGGGAGTGCTGAGATTGGGAAGAAGGGCAAGCTGAGCCTGAGATTCGTGGGACCCTTTGAAGTCCTAGAAAGGATAGTGCCCGTGGCCTACAGACTAGCATTGCCACCCACACTCACCATGGTGCACAACATATTCCATGTATCGATGTTAGAAAGTACACCCCAGATCCCACTCACATCATTGATCACGAGACACTTCCCATCCGGAAGGACCTATCATCTGAGGAGAAACCCATAGGGATAATGGCACGTGATGTGAGGAGGCTATGAAGAACGGAGATTCCATTAGTCAAGGTTTTATGGGAAAACCATCGAGACAACGAGGCTACCTGAGAATGTGAGGATGACATGAAGAGATCTTACCCAGAACTCTTCTGGGGAGGATCAACTTTCGAGGACGAAAGTTTCTAAGGTGGGGAGGATTGTAGCGCCCGAGTTTTAAAAAAAAATAATAAAAAATTAGGTCACAATAGGGGCAAACTAGACATTTTGCCCTTATTACTTGATGGGTCTAATTTGGTTAAGTCATAATTTGGAAAAGAAAAAGAAGAAGGGAGAGAAAGAGAAGAAAGAAGAGGGAAATAAGATTAGGGTTTTTGAGGAAGGAGGAGGAGATCGGATCAGAACCGACGCTGGAGATCCGAGTCCCCGATCTAAACCATCAATAGTCCAAGGCAAGGTGCACTCACGAATCGCACCTTCCTACCTCGTCAAAACGTCCAAGAACTTCAAGTTAGTCCACAAATGTCTAGATTGAGAAGTCATCAAGATTTTCATGTGATAGTGACGTTTTGTGTTGATCCTTGGACTCTTACCCTCAATAGCGTTACCTGGTTAAGTTTTGGTGTTCGAATCGGAGTTTCAAGAAAACGTGATTTTCGGTAAGAACTCGTGTTTTTCTCCGAATTCGAACTCAAATATTAAGATATGTGATTATTAGAAAAAATATAAGAAAATTGATTCGAATGAGTAGAATATGAGACCTACAAGGTTCGTGAAGAAAATTTGTTGAATCGGATTATGGATTAGAAGATAAAAAAAATCGAAAGAAAATAGATCGAAACGTGAAAGATGCCTGGAAAATGAAAAAAAACGCAGGAGAGAGGGTGGAGACGCCACCACGCATCGGTGGCGTGCGGAGGAGTGCGGCGGAACCGGTGATCAACACGTATCAGTCACCGGCTGGTGAGCCGCGTCCTCACCCGGTAGCGGACATGCATCAAGCACGCAGATCCGGCCAGCCCGACCCGCGCTGCACGCGAACCCCCCAACCCGGCGCCTCTGACCCGCGCGTGTAGGAATTGTGCATAGAAACCCTCCAGGGCGCGTGTGACGCGTATGGGGGCTAGTGAGGCACTGTTTTTCTTTTCGTTTGGTCTCTGTTTGCTTGTTTTCCAACCCGATTTTGATGCTGACCCATTTATTATGTAAATTAGGACTTGTCAAGGAAATTCCAGAATTGTTGGAACCCATTCCGTCAAGAAAACTCGAAATCGGGAAGGCACGCGTCAACCAAGTAAGTAGCCATTTGGATTCCCATGAGCAGTACTTGTAGGAACCGCTAGGAACTAGCATGCATGCTACCACCCATTAACTTAGCTAGCCGGACCTAGTATATTAGTATGGAAATTGCGAAAATGAAAGGATTAAAGAAAGCTTGATATGAAATGTTTATTAAATCTGTTTGATTGAGATTTTGATAAAGTATGTATGCATGAGAAGGATGGGAAACTTGTGAAATCTGCGCTCCGAGTAAAGATGAACGTTATCTTCCCGTTGAGCATGTTTGTTAATATTGCATGAACTGCTGCGTGTTAACTCTTATGTATGATAATTGCTTATGTTATCTATCTTGATGAATAAGAAGAAATTACGAGCTTAGATTAGGGTGCTTATGACTAAGTAGGCTAGATGAGACCCTAGATTGGGGGACCTCTAGAATACCGTGCAATTAGACCCGCAAAATGATTACCGGCGGATCCAGAGTCCAGAATTCTAAACCTGATAGGTTTGTGAGACCAGGCACGAGAATCGTAGAGATACATGAATCCAAGTCTAATACACTAAGTTCCACCCTAGAAAGAATAATAGGTCACCACGGTAACTGTAGGCAGCTCGCTAGAGTTGAACAATGTAGATAGTGTCATCAGAACCTCCACTTCCCTCTCTCCTCTGAAACCGTATCGTCGAGACAGAGCTCTAGTACGGTGATCGTTGAGCTTTGCAGATCAGGATAGGGAAGTGTGACAAGTGCCCAGCCCTAGTGGTGATAGCTAAGGGGTCTTCTGAACAGGACTTTTGGGCCGTAGAAACCCGTCCATGAGTGGGGGACGTGGAGCCACATAGGACGACTTAGTAGCTGAGCGGCACACAAGGGTTGCACCCCGTTTAGTGGATGTATGGTCCCGTGTGAGGGTCGTCAGCTAACCTCCGTGGATGATGTTCAGAGAGAGTCACGTTTTCATATCCAGCCATACAATCCCCTCAGATTTACTTATGAGGTCGCACCTCACCTCAGGACACTGATCATTACATTTCTTAAGATGGGCAAGCCTCCTAAGATACAGAAAAGAGAGTTGCAGCTTAGATACTCTCTCTTTAGAAACCCGAGAAAAACCGTAGTTACCTACCAAGATAAGGATGTGAAAAGAGCCTACAAGTAGGCTACTTACTGAGTATTTTTATACTCATTCCTTTCTACTCTTTTTTTTTTTTCAGGTGAGTGATGCCATGGATCGAGGCGAGAATGTTAATATCACAGAGGAGTGTCCCGGGGTGTCTAGGAGTCTGTGCATAATTTTGTTTAGATCTGTCATGCATTGTTTTGTAAACCGTCTACATACTTTTCATACTTGAACACCTTGATTCGGATTTCAAACCTTTTACATAATTGCTAAACTTTTTGTAATCTCGTCTTCTCTATTTGTTTTTACACAATTTTATTGCATAGTCTGTTGGTCCAGCCCTTGATTTCGAGATTTAAATTTTGGGTTGTGACAACAACTATCCTATGCACGCGCCACAATCTCTGATCACAATGCTGCCGTCAACCGTACATGGGCGCCTTGCTTTTCCCTGAAAAACAATATGGCCCACGGCTTGAGTATTTTGAAGAAATACTTAGTAAGTGACCCCACTGTAGGGGTCATGCTAATGCAAACACAAGAAATCATGAATTAGGGACCTATCTCTAATCATCATAAGAGTGGCCTCCAATCTCGAACAAATTGGATGTGTAATACTTCCCTACACACGACTCCCACGTGCAAGTGTGAATCCTCAGGACACTCGCACACCCTCTAGATCCTCTGGTCAACCTAATCTATAGCGACATCCAGATGTCAGTGGAACCACAGTGTCATGCATCTCATGAACACCCTCATCTATTCGCATTCACACTCATCATCATACGGTGCGCGTTCGCACTCATCATCTCTCGGGGAAGTAGCCCTATGCTTATAAACACACCATATGCATGAGGTCCCTCTAAGTCCAATTATACTTCTCTTCTAACACAACCCTCTACTCTCATCTCTTTGTTACACTGTGTAACATGTGCTCGTAGATATTTACATTAATATCATTTTCATGCTCTTAGGGTTGTGTTCTATGTCGATCTAACGACGTGATGCACTATGGCATACAACATCATAAGGCATGTTCAACATGGAAAACATCATCATGTTAATAACATCGTCATGCATACATCATACTCATCATAAAAGCCATTAAGTGAATCAAATATAACATGTACGTCATGCATCAAAACATAAATAACGTACATATAACATACATCACAACACAACGTCATACTCATACATCATCATAATTCATACAATCTTTAGCCTATCTTATACTAAGGCCACTTACATGGTTAGCCTTGGTCGAAGTACTCCCTAATTAGCTAAATGTAAGCTCTCGTTCCTTGAGAGCTGCTTTCTACATTGCCGGGGTTTGTTTCCAATCACACCGTTTGTCACCTTCCGATAGTATTTCACAATTAAATTACCAATAAATGTGAAATACGGCTTTAAAACAGCCTCGATTACCTTAACCAGAATCAAAAATAGGTTTGGGAGGGTCGAAACGGTGGAAATGGGGCTAAAATCTAAGAAGTCGAGCCAAAACAGCCGCTGGGAGCCACTAGAGAAGTCACCGAAGCTTCGCCGGAGGGAGGCGGAGCTGTTTGCGCCAAGCCAAGCCGAGGGACCGTCCACGCCGCCGTGTTCCATGTGGTAGCAGTAGAACGTGCCACGTCATGCGGAGGCATCAGGTCAAGGCGCAGGTTGTAGTCCGGTTCGGGTCATCGACTGTCGAAGGCTACTGGGCCAGACAAATCATTGGGCCTCGGCTTACTAGACTAGGCCATAGGTGTTTAGGTTGCAAGCCGGTTCAGTTGGATCGTGGGTTTGGTCTCGGGTTGGTTTGGCTGAACCATCGGCTACTGGGTTGGATTGAGGTTTGGGCCGAATCAGAATCTGGGCCTCGATTTTGCGGGTTGGATTGAGGTTTGGGCTGAATCAAAATTTGGGCCTCAATTTCGTGGGCTGGACTAGGATTGGTTTGGGTCGCTGTCGGTTGGGCCTCAGGTCTGGGTCGCTGCCAGTTGGGCCTCAAATCTGGGTATTCGATTTGGGCTGACCCAGATCCGATGGATCCTTCTTCCTTACCCGACTTCTGCGCAATTTTCTGGCGCGTTTTCTCTCTCCTTCTCGTGGCGTTTCCGTTGCCGATTTTGGTCCCCTTTCTTTCTTTTCCTCTTTGTTTGTCGTCCCTCTTTCCTTCCTTAAAGTTTTGTGGCCTAAAAATTCCTAAAACCACAGAACTAAGAATGTTTAGGAAAACCCAATTTTTTGACCTCAGTTACTAACGATGACGCTTACAAAAAGGCACAAAACCTACCTTGAGTTATTGTGCTATTATTAGGTATCCTTCTCGTGATGGTGCTGTGTTAGGATCGATACCAGTCGTTAGCTCTGATACCAGTTGTTAGGATCGCACAACAACGCACACGCTCGATCTAGATGAACACAAAGAATGGGATAGTGAAAATTGCAAGGAGAACTTTGGCTAAAAGAATTTTTTTTTTATTGATGACTTCAGGTATGTACAACGAGAGAGAGTACAGAGAATAGAAAGTACATTTTCAAAGCTCTACCGGACGAGATATATATATGGTTTAGTTTACTATATATAGCTTTACCAGATTTAACCATCTACTATATATAGCTATTTACCATATATAGCTTTACCGGATATAGCTTTACCATATATAGCTTTACCTCAACTCCCACTTGTTTGAGCAACTCAACCTCAACTCCCACTTGTTTCACCTCTGGTTTCTCAGCAAGAGTCTCAGGAGTTTCTTGAGTATCCGCTACAACATCACTCTGTGAATCTTTGAGCAACTCAACCTCAACTCCAACTCGCTTCACCTCTGGTGTTTCAGCGACGCTTCCGGCCGACGCAACCCCCTCTGGAGTTTCAGCGACGTTTCCAGCCGATGCAACCTCCCTCTGAAGCTTCAGCGATGCTTCCGACCGACGCAACCCCCTCTGGAGTTTCAGCGATGCTTCCAGCCGACGCAACCCCCCTCTAGAGTTTCAGCGACGCTTTCGGTACTTTTCTTCAATTCTCTAACAATCTTTGTGAAGCTAACTCGTTTATGTTTGCTCATAACACAGTTCTCACAAGAACTCATAACAATCTCCGCATCAAATACACCTTGTTCATAGCCGACAGTTTTTCGTACATATTCAACAGCGTCTTCAACAGACCTGACGTTGTCTTCTCCTTGATGATGTTAAACGCCACATTTCTGGATAGCGTCAACCGGATCATCCCTAAGGCTTGTCGATCCTTGAGCTTCCACTGTTCCGTGGTCATGGTATCCGGCTTCACCCCCAACAGAGGTTCGTGAAGATCTTTCTGGTACAAATAATCTTCAATCTACATCTTCCAGAAACCGAAATTGGATCCATCGAACTTCTCAATTCCAATCTTTGAACTTTCCATCTTCACAGATCGTGGTGAATTTTACCTAGCTCTGACTTCCGCCTGGCTCTGTCTTCCACCTGGCTCTGATACCAGTTGTTAGGATCGATACCAGTCGTTAGCTCTGATACCAATTGTTAGGATCGCACAATAACGCACACGCTCGATCTAGATGAACACAAAGAATGGGATAGTGAAAATTGCAAGGAAAACTTTGGCTAAAAGAATTTTTTTTTTATTGATGACTTCAGGTATGTACAACAAGAGAGAGTACAGAGAATAGAAAGTACATTTTCAAAGCTCTACCGGACGAGATATATATATGGTTTAGTTTACTATATATAGCTTTACCAGATTTAACCATCTACTATATATAGCTATTTACCATATATAGCTTTACCGGATATAGCTTTACCGAATATAACCGTTGACTAAAATATAAATACGCATCAGGCTCCATAACCTAACATGCTGAGCATTTAGCGTTGATTTTTGGGTGGTTTGGGACTCGTCAGAAAAAATTGGAAACTCACCAACGTTATTCGAAATCTCTCTCTCTCGTATTTTCTTTCTTTTCTCTATTTGTAGGTATTCTGAGGTGTTATGGGAGTCTTGGGTTGAAGGCTGAGTGGGGTGCGGTTGTCGTTTCACGTGGGATCCTCAAAACTCAGCGGTTGCTAGAGAACTCACAGGTTTTTCGGCGACTAAGTTTTTTTTTCTTTTTTTCCTTTTCTTTTTCTTTTTCCCAAGTCGTTACATTGCACCCTGATTTTCCCCTTCCTCTAGCCTCATCTTGGTTCGTGGGGTATTTGTCTGTACATTGGGGAGGGTACCTCTCAACTTGTCGAGGGGCAGGTCGGTCGGCATCGCGGGGTCTACACGCTGGTGGCTGATGATCTGAGTCCCTCGAGTCATAGGGTCGTTTACGACCAATAGTAACTGACTTCTCTCCTCGTGCCTCATCTCTAGGCTTCTCTAGGGCCTTAGCAGTTCTCAAAGCTTCCTTATATGTCTTTGGATCTATGACTTCCACTGTGTGGAAAATCTCCAAGTGCAGGCCCAAAATAAATTTTTCGGTCATCTTTCGTTTAGTGTCCACCAATGATGGCTTAAATCTTTTCAATCTCATAAATTCTTTGTCTTATCTTTCCACTGAGTGTCCACCCTCAATCAGATGGGTTGTAACGACCCTAAATTTCTACATATCTAGAGTCGTCACTACTGTCTCATGCTCATCTCTAATGCAGAATATAACTCTAAGAATGCTCATCTTTATTAGCATAAAAATTTAAAACTTCAGAATACGTTAAAACATTAGAAAACACTACTGGACTTACATGTTTCAAACATCATGCTAGAGTTAAAAATAAGATAAAACAATTACAAATTAAATAATTTAAATAAATGAAACGCAAACACCTTATCCTAACCAAGACTAGGAATTTTAAATATGCAACTATCCAATGCACGCGCCACAGTCTCTGATCACGATGCCGCCGTCAACCGTACATGGGCGCCTTGCCTTTACCTGAAAAATAATATGGCACACGGCCGAAGAAATATTCAGTAAGTGACCCCACTATAGGGACCATGCTAATGCAAACACATGCAATCATGAATTAGGGGCCTATCTCAAATCATCTTAAGGGTGGCCTCTAGTCACGGACAAATTGGATGTGTAGTACTTCCCTACACATGACTCACACGTGCGAGTGTGAATCCCCAGGGCGCTCACATACCCCCTAGACCCTCTGG